ATATTCAGCGGCACAAAATACGTTTTCGTTAGAATATTGTACATTTAACATTAACAATTTCATCCATGTGATAATTTTTTTTTATATACATTTTTTTTTACAGATTAAAGAAAGGTGTCTTATCAGCAATTTATTTTTAAATCCATTTATTGTTACAAAGCACTCGGGTCTATTTTTTTTAGTTTGTACTGCATTGTTACATCTAGGATTGTAGGATGTATTAGCTATATATTACTGTATATTTAATTTTGTCCTTATTACATCTTTTTAAATACAGATTAATGAAAGGTGACTGTTATATATCTACAGTTTTAAATGTCAGGTGAATGGACTGTAGAATTATATTTATTGTTATATTTATTTTCCTTTTCTTTATTTTAATTTTCTTTTTGCATTGCATATATATATTTTTTAAATTACAGATTAATTAATTCATTTATCACTGTAAAAAAGCAAGGTTTATTGAATGGTAGAGCGCATTTAAAGGACGCAATGCTAGCACACATATATTCTTTAGGAAACTGAAATTTACCGATAGACGACAAGGTAAACAGAGAAAAAAAAAGAAGTGAAAATATAAGATATTAAATCAAACTTCAAGACAATATATAAACCAGGAAAAAAATAGTTAATTTACGTCCGTTTTCCTCCCCTCAAAAAATATACAAATATATTCCTTGTTTGCTTATTTCCAAGAAGTGAAATAAACCTTATTAACGTGATAGTCCCCTCGTAGATACCAGATGTGAGAATTGCTTATCTTCCTCTTCTTATTATTCTCTCTTTTCTTCTTCTTCTTGTTCTTCGTCGTCACTCTTCTTATTCTTATTATTATTCATTCTTCTTTTCTTATCATTATCATTTTTCTTCTTTCGTCTTCTTCTTCTTTTCGTGTTCTTAATCTCATTAGCATCATTCTTCTTCTTCTTCTTTTTCTTCCCCTTCTTCTTCTTCTAGTTCTACTTCTTCGTCCTCCTCTTTTTTTCTCCTTCCCTTCTTTTCTTTTTCTTTTTTTCTCTTCTTCTTCTTCGTCCTCTTGTTTCCATAATTGTTCGTCTACTTTTTTCTTTCCTTGGCACTAAAGATATGTTCAAAGCGGAACTTTTTTTCTTTCTCTTTCTATATTTTTTCTTTTTATCTTTTCTTTTTATCTTCTTATTTCCTTCGTCTATTTTGGTCCTTCATCTGATTTCCCAAAAGACTGGTGTTTTGGGGCTTCAAACAGAGTATTTGACTCTCTGTCTACCTTTCTGTCTGTCAGTCTGTCTGTCTGTCTGTCTCTCTCTCTCTCTCTCTCTCTCTCTCTCTCTCTCTCTCTCTCTCTCTCTCTCTCTCTCTCTCTCTCTCTCTCTCTCTCTCTCTCTCTCTCCCTCCTCTCTCTTTCTCTCTCTCTGTCTCCCCCCACTCTCTCTCTGTCTATCTGTCTATCTATCTATATCTGTCTATCTGTCTGTCCATCTATCTATCTTTTTCTCTCTCTCTCTCTCTCTCTCTCTCTCTCTCTCTCTCTCTCTCTCTCTCTCTCTCTCTCTCTCTCTCTCTCTCTCTCTCTCTCTCTCTCTCCTTCTTCAAAGCCCGAGTTTACCTCAGTAGTTAGTGCAGTGTTGCCACATCCTCTCGGGAGACCACAAATAGTCATGGTGAGAGAACCTTCTAGAACCTTCTAGAACCTTCTAGATGACCATCTCTCCCTCCCCTCCCCATAGGATCCGGTGGATGTTTTAAGGGAGATATGGATCGCCTCTAGGCCAGAGAAAGTGTTCCCAGTAGGTAGAGGTCTTTTGTTCCAAGGAGAGTTGGCAACAGCTCTTCCGGAATGAACAGTAACGGACGTCGTCATTTTTTTTTTTTTTTTTTTTTTTTTTTGAAAGGAAATAGATATCTCTTTTTTCTTTTTTCTTTTTTTATTGTTGTTTTTTTATTCTGTTGATCGTTTTTTTATATATATTTTTTCTTTAGTCTCTTTTGGTCGTGGTGGATACATGTTTTTTTTTCTTTTTTTTTTTACTCTCTCTCTCTCTCTGGTTTATTGTCTGTTTTCTGTTTTTTTTTTTCTATCTCTCTTTTTTTCTTTCTTTCTTTTTTGAGTCTTAGAAAGTCAAAGACCCATCCACAATCAAAACAGTACCCCCTTGATTTTCATTCCAACATCAGTTTTCTTTACGATGCGTTTATGTTTATTTCTTTTTCGTTTATCCTCCGCGACCTAAGAGTTCTTTCAATTATTTTTTTAGAGAGAGAATTATGTAAAGATTTTTATTTATTTATATGAAGATCAACAGAGATCATTTGTATAAGTAATTAATCGACTCTGGTACTGTTTATTCCACAGAGAATGGAATTAAGTTCGTCAATTTTCTTTTTTTTATGCATTTTTAAAAAGCATTTTTTGGAGCATTTTGGTGTACTAACCAATTTTGTGTGTTTTTTTTTTCTTTTATTTTCTTTTCTTTTTTTTTAAGGGAACCATTGCATTTTGCACAGGAATTAATTTATATTTTCTTGGTTAGATTTTTTTTTTCCTCCTCTAAACGTATTGAAAATCCTTCCTTTTATATATGTCTCAATGCTGTCATTCTTAGCCTCCTTCGCTAAGTGACAGTTTTTCCTCTATCTTAAATTAATCTTACGTGTCAATCCTCCTTTGGTCGAGTGTAAGTATCCTAACCTTACTAATATTTGCTTTTAGGACGTGTTTTACTTAGGTCGATGCTTTTGAATACTAACGAAACTGAGGTTCGATTTTCAGGATGGACAGTAAGTAACCTGGTCTATGCCTATATATTTTTTTTATTTTCTTTTAAACTAACACGGGTTTTTTCCCCACCCTCTCTTTTTTTCCCTTCCATGCTGCTTTGAACACCTGTGAATGCTGCTGCGTGTTCGGTGCCTCTCCCCGCCCACCTCACCTGTGTGACTCATCTGTGTGACTCACTTTAATTGACTCGCCTCGAATGGTCGATTTGACGTGATTCGTCTGACGTGACTCGTGTTTCCTGACTTGTTTGATTTGACTTCATTTTGATTCACTTGCCTTGACTTGTCTAATCTGACTGATATGACTAAATGTGTGACTCACGTAACCTGACTCATCTCACCCGATTCGCTTAATTCGGTTGATCTAACCTGACTCACCTAACCAAATTTAACTTACTTGAATCTCTTAACGTGACCCTTTTGACTCATCTCCCTCCCCCCCCCCACCACATTCCCTAATTAACCCTACCTTCCCCTTTATCCCGTACCTCAAACTCCCCTTTCCCCCCCAATTCCCTCGCCCCCCCCCCACAAACACATCCTTTCCCACCCACTCTCTCTCTGCCCCCACACGCACCCTCCCCTCCCCCTCCCCACCCACACTCTCTCCCCCCACACACCCACTCCCCCCCCCTCACACACCCTCCCCTCCCCACCCACACCCTCCCCTCCCCACCCACACTCTCTCTCCCCCACACACCCACTCTCCCCCCCTAACACACCCTCCCCTCCCCACCCACACTCTCTCCCCCCACACACCCACTCTCCCCCCCTAACACACCCTCCCCTCCCCTCCCCTCCCCACATTCTCTCCTCTCTCCTCTACCCCCCTCCGCTTACCTGCCTACCCCACCCAACCACACCTTTCCCTCCCCCTCCCATCTACCCCATGAACCCTCCCCTAACCTAACCCTCCTCCTCCCTACACACACCCCTTCCCTCCCCTACCCCCTCTAAAAAAATCAAATTAAATAAACACATAAATAAACGAATAAACGCCAGGATCCCAAACAGACCGACTGGCTTTGGGAACTGCGCGAGAGAAAGAGACAAATGGACAGGACAAACAATTATAGAAATCTCAAGAAGCGAGTCGAGAACAGACAGCTGCCTCACGATTACATTATTCGCGAGAGTGAGAAAATCGAGAAGTTTCTGGAATACGGAGAGTTTGTACTGACGCCCAGAGACGCCGCGCGTATGAAGGCTAAACATAACAGGGAAGCGAGGGTTAGTATTTCCCGCTGAGAGTGCTCAGTCAGGATTCATTTATGTTGCCTCAATGTCTTTCTTTTTTCCTTCTGTTTGTCTGTGTGTCGGTGTGTGTGTGTCTGATTCTCTTTCTCTCTTTCTCTCTTTCTCTCTTTCTCTCTTTCTCTCTCTCTCTCTCTATCTCTCTCTCTCTCTCTCTCTCTCTCTCTCTCTCTCTCTCTCTCTCTCTCTCTTTCTCTTGGTTGTGTGTGTCTTTGTCTTTGTCATTCTCTGCTCTTTTCTTTCAGTATCATATCTCTTTAAGTGTGTCAAATCAAGCTTTTGTCGAATCGATCTGAGCTAAATTTTGCACGACATAAACCAGTCTTCAGTTTATCTCTAAATGGAAGCTTTTTTTCCCTCTTTGTCAGGTGCCTACGTAATACTCTAAAAAACTATCACTTAGGAATCATATATGACACACTCGCGCACACACACACACACACACACACACAAACATATTTAAAACATGTATGTATAACCTTCCTCTTTTTTATGCGAATACACAAAGTTCACGGGCGTAAATTAACACACACAAACAATACAAAACAATAAATACATACTATTGTAATGACCAATAACAACCTACATTTTCTTTTTTTCAAATCCTTAAACAAATATATGATTCCTTATAGTGTTAATGCTTTTCCATATTCTGTCGCGTCTCCAGCACAATATCTTTCCAAAAAAAACTCTATTTTTCCTTTATTTCTCTCTCTCTCTCTCTCTCTCTCTCTCTACAGCCTTTTGCTCTCAACAGAAATGAGTTTTTTCCCCTTTTTTACTTTTTATAGACAGACTACCACCGAATATACCGAAAGGATAGATGGACGTTAATGATCGTGAGTTACATCCAAGGAAATGTACATTATACACATGAATTTCCTGGCCCCTGTTTACTCTCCCTCTCCACCCCTGGTCTTTCTCTTGCTAGCTCTATCATTTTCTCTATGCCGATCTCTGTCTATTTCTCTCTCTTTCATTGTTCTCTTTCTCTCTCTTTCTTTCATTGCTCTCTCATTCTCTCTTTCTCTCTCTCTCCCTCCCTCCCTCCCTCCCTCTCTCCCTCCCCCCCTCTCTCTCTCTCTCTCTCTCTCTCTCTCTCTCTATATATATATATATATATATATATATATATATATATATATATATATATATATATATATATATATATATATATATATATATAATCTCTCCACTGATCACCCTCCACAATCCTCCATCTCTATATATACACATACCATCACTCTAGTTGACTCTTTACATTATATATATATTTATTTATTTTTCTGTCTCTCTCCTTCATAAACATAGAAATCTTCACCTTACAGTTACTTAGCCTGGTAGTTGGTCCACTGGATGTGAGCATGCGACGAAAATTAGGCATACAATCAAAGGGGCAAACGATAACTCAGATAAAGCCATGTAGAGTGTTAGAACAGACACCCCCACACAGTGTGTTTATTGCTGCCTGTTCCCTGTGACATGAATCTACACCACCCAGCTGTACACGTGTTGTAGTGAAGGCGGCTACAGATGCATATTGTTGTTAATGTGCTTCTGACAGCTCCTTTTTTTAAATGGAAATAGATTAGACAATAATAATAATGTTACTAGAAACATCATAACCACAAAATTTTTCTCTTTCACGGAAGAATATACTTTACACATAATGATATATGAGATCATATCCAGTGGACGCTACGTCATATTATGAATACGAACGTTCTATGGGCATACCGGGTATATGACAAAATCCAGCAGAACAGGGAGTGGGCATGTGTACCCCGGGTAGTGGGCGCAAGACAATGCCCGGCTCAACGTGTGCGGGACAAAACAGAGCTCTTGCAGGGTACTGAATAATTCCTTTTTATTTTAAAATCATTCCTTGTTCCCTTATTCCCCCTTTTTATTCGTTTACTTATGGCCTTGAATATTCTTCCTCTCCTCCCTTCCTCTTCTTTTTTTGAGTCTCTTTTTGTACTCTTAATGATATTTTTTCTGTGTTTTTGCCTTTTCGGATTTTGACTTTTTGCATATCTTGTTTTTCTTCTTTTTAAGAGACAAGTGCTACTACATATATATATATATATATATATATATATATATATATATATATATATATATATTGTGAATGTATGTTTTGCATTCTTTTGGCATGTTTTGTCTGAATCATGATATTTTTGTGTATGTTTTTTATAAGTTTTTAATATTTTTTGCATGACTTTTGTATTCTTTTGTCTCTCTTTTTTCTTAAATCCTTACTTGGCAACATCAACTAACAACCTACAACCAACCACGACAACAACAACAACATCAACGGTCACCATCTCAACCACTTCAAAAATAACCAACGAACCAAAAAACCGAATTATCCCAATAAAAAAAATATATATATTATAATGTCAATGACTGAACACCAGCGGGAGCGTATGAAACGAGAGGTGCTATTTCTGTTGCCGAAAAAAATTCACGATCACAAACTTCTCAGCTGGTACTATCGCATTCTAAGAGAACAACAAAAGATCGATGATTTTTATGAAGACATAAGATTGGTATGTTGCAAGGAGGTGGATATATATATATTTTTAAATATATATATTTTTTATGTACTTGTATCCATATACTTGTTTAAAAAATTAAGTACGGTGCTTTTTGACTTCCCTCTCCCGTTTTTTATCACTACCATTCTACGAAAAGATTATCAATATTTGGTAATGGGTTCAAGATGTGTATATATATATGTATACGTCTGTTGACAAGCTTACTGCACTTGTATTTTTGTAGTTTTAACTGTAGATTCATGTCAAGCGCAGCTGATGTTGGGTTTCGCCGCACTAGACACCCATGCAAGTAGACAGACAAACAAACAAACAAAAATATGGCAAGCTCTAGTTGGTGTATATATACGCTTTTTTAAACACAGTTAGCAAGCCACCTTTTGAAGATATAAATAAATATATTGACCCTCCCTCCCTCCCCTTTGATATACTTTTAAAAGATTTAATTTAGATAAATATATTGGGTTCAGTTAAGTCTTAGGTGCTGTAAGGTAGATATTACTAACATAGCAACTCCCTTTTTACTCTCGCAGTTTACGATAACGCATGTAAGTGGAAAAAAAAATTAAAAATATGAAAAAGTGCTTATAATGTCTGTAGAATTCGTAAATGTTAACCAATGCTGTATTAGTGAAGGTAATATGAGTTGTCCTTGTTCATTGTCACTGCATTTTTTCCCCTTTTTTGCAGTTTTTCGGTTGATAAAGATTATCTATGTTTATATATATACCATATATTCAACCAATCTATAAAGAAAAAGAATCTAACCTCCCATCCTTACGTCACTTTTTTGCTTTAAAAAAAATCGGAACTTGAAAAAGAGAATAAAATACTCCCGTAATCCCCTACATCCGGGTACTGACGCAACATCTACATATACAGGGTCGTCGAGGAGCGCCGGGACTACGCGAGGGATACAGGCTTATGACATCTGTTTCTGTTCCTGTTTTCGACCGCAAGAAAACCTCAGTAAGTACAATCGCATTAATGTTTAGAGTTTTGTATCTATAATCACTGTCATTTTCCTAATTATTGTGAATGAAAGTTGATATTGATCGGTTCACTGAACCATTGTTGTTGTTTATTATCATTACCCCTTTTAGCTAACGGATGATTTAAAACCAGTTTCAGTATTATTCACTTACACATAACATTTGCCAGGTATCACTAAAACTTTGATAAAGTTAATCATTAAAATTACTGATTTCAGCCATTGCTGGTATTTTGCATGGATGTGTGGTATGTAAGAGAATATATTATGTATTTATAATACGACTAACGTTACCAATATTCCTTGTAGGTTCAGCATTTGTAAGGTAATAAATTCAAACTAAACTGAATTCACTGGTATAGGTTTATAGTTTTATAATGTGTGGTGTGTGGTGTTAGTATATATGGCGTATGTATGATCAAGGAGCCTGGCTATAAACTATATTTTGTACAGTTTAAGAATTGTTGTAATATATGTATAAAATGCTTAATGTAAGACCAGTTATGTATGAACCATAGCGAAAGGTGTATACGTGTGATATGGATCGATTTCAGATTATTAATTCATGATCATATAGTTTTTTATGATGTTACAGAATCATTCATGTATATAGTGACAGAACAGCACGTGAATTGTTTTAATTTCGCGTAACTACCCCCCCTGAATTTTTGGTTAGCTTACATTTTGATATAGCTCTTTCTTGCGTCATTTTTTTTTTAAAGTTATATCTCTATATCTGTTTATATGTATGATAGTCAGAAAAATTCTTGACCACATCATGCATAGCGACATCATACGACCACATATTAATCTTATTTCAGTCCATCTTTGGCTTTAATCCATTTTCATTTAACAGAAGAAAAAAAAACAATACTATTTTACACAGTATTATAGCACCAGTATATGGAGAAGTGCAAATATTTGTATAGCACTTAGTACTCATGATTCTTGAAACGGTGCAAATGTGTTTTTTTTTTCCTTTTTTTTTGTATATGTATATAAGTCTCTTTTTTGTGCGTGTGTGTGTGATCACTCACTCGAAACTTTTTTTCTAGATGCCTCAACACCCTCTGCTGATTCTCTTTACTTATTGTTTCATTTTCTTTTGCTTATTATCCTATATTTTCATACACTGTTTATGTTTGTCGATTATTGTACATTTATGAACACAACTACATGCATGCATAAACTGGAATATATATACAACACACACGCATATGTATGTGTGCGCATACACACACACACACACACACACACACACACACACACACACACACACACACACACACACACACACACACACACACACACACACACACACATGCATACATACATACATACATACATACATACATGCAAACAAACAAAACCCATTCAATAAACACCTCTAAAAAGACGATCAACGGTTACTGATATATCTTGTGATGATGCACCATAATAAAACAATCAGTCTGATGAACCCTGACGCCCCCGAAATAACTATATACTTTCCAGACAGAGACCTCACCCCCCCCCCCACCAACCCCCCCAATATCTCTAACTTTCTGACTCTTATTTTCGACGCTTCAGAACATCACGGAGAGAGTTTTGATCAATGAGGCCGTTTGGGAAAAGAGGAAGAGAGAGGTACTAAGAAGTCTGTCCCTAGATAGCTCAATAGCGTACAATGTATTTACTCTGCAAGTCTTAGATATCGCTAGAGAGAGAGCGAGAGCGAGAGAGAGAGAAAGCGAGAGCGAAAGAGAGAGAGAGAGATTTAAAAAATAATAATTACAGTGGAGAGTAGAATGTTAGAGATTGTATAGTACAGATATAAAGAACTTTAAAAGAATTTGATCAGTGCCATGGAGATTTGAGGTATTACTACTTTTTTTTTTATATATATTTGGGAGCAGTGTATGTAAGATCAGCAAGTGGAGAGAACTGCCCATTGTTTACATAGACTGACTTGCGAATTAGCTGACAGCTTAGACAATTGATTAATGACCCGCCAACTCTTCGCGGTACCGGAGTCTGTGACTTTTTAGACTGTCTGTAGTTTTATCTATTAGTGGTCACACCAGAACCAAGAGACAAGTAGAAAAATAGCTTTTTTTTAACCATAGCTGCTTTAAGTAATAGAACGTTGTGGATATTTGTGATGTAGAAACTTTGGGTATTCAGTAAAAAAAAAATACGATTTGTTAGTTGGTCGTGTAGAGCATAAATTTGAAAATACATCATTCTGTATTTTTTTCTCTATATTGTATTATTATTTGTTGGTTGGTTGAGCAATATCTTGCTGGTTTATTGCCTCTCCTGCGGCTGTTTGAGCGAAAACAAGAGCTCAAGACGCCTGTATAGCACGTGTCGTTTCTTTTCTTAGTGGTCAAATCTAAATTGTTTGGGCTCGAATATCGCTCAAAGAGTCATTACTGCACTGTCGTTTGTCCTTTTTTTCTTTCAAAATTTAGGACTAATAAATAAACGGGGGAGTAAATTCATTTGATAAAGGATCACTGTTTATCAAAGATGTATTCAAAGTCACCCCACATTGCAATAATCAAAAAAGAAAAAACATTTTCTTTTGCTTATTATCCTATATTTTCATACACTGTTTATGTTTGTCGATTATTGTACATTTATGAACACAACTACATGCATGCATAAACTGGAATATATATACAACACACACGCATATGTATGTGTGCGCATACACACACACACACACACACACACACACACACACACACACACACACACACACACACACACACACACACACACACACACACACACACACACATGCATACATACATACATACATACATGCAAACAAACAAAACCCATTCAATAAACACCTCTAAAAAGACGATCAACGGTTACTGATATATCTTGTGATGATGCACCATAATAAAACAATCAGTCTGATGAACCCTGACGCCCCCGAAATAACTATATACTTTCCAGACAGAGACCTCACCCCCCCCCCCACCAACCCCCCCAATATCTCTAACTTTCTGACTCTTATTTTCGACGCTTCAGAACATCACGGAGAGAGTTTTGATCAATGAGGCCGTTTGGGAAAAGAGGAAGAGAGAGGTACTAAGAAGTCTGTCCCTAGATAGCTCAATAGCGTACAATGTATTTACTCTGCAAGTCTTAGATATCGCTAGAGAGAGAGCGAGAGCGAGAGAGAGAGAAAGCGAGAGCGAAAGAGAGAGAGAGAGATTTAAAAAATAATAATTACAGTGGAGAGTAGAATGTTAGAGATTGTATAGTACAGATATAAAGAACCTTAAAAGAATTTGATCAGTGCCATGGAGATTTGAGGTATTACTTCTTTTTTTATATATATTTGGGAGCAGTGTATGTAAGATCAGCAAGTGGAGAGAACTGCCCATTGTTTACATAGACTGACTTGCGAATTAGCTGACAGCTTAGACAATTGATTAATGACCCGCCAACTCTTCGCGGTACCGGAGTCTGTGACTTTTTAGACTGTCTGTAGTTTTATCTATTAGTGGTCACACCAGAACCAAGAGACAAGTAGAAAAATAGCTTTTTTTTAACCATAGCTGCTTTAAGTAATAGAACGTTGTGGATATTTGTGATGTAGAAACTTTGGGTATTCAGTAAAAAAAAAAATACGATTTGTTAGTTGGTCGTGTAGAGCATAAATTTGAAAATACATCATTCTGTATTTTTTTCTCTATATTGTATTATTATTTGTTGGTTGGTTGAGCAATATCTTGCTGGTTTATTGCCTCTCCTGCGGCTGTTTGAGCGAAAACAAGAGCTCAAGACGCCTGTATAGCACGTGTCGTTTCTTTTCTTAGTGGTCAAATCTAAATTGTTTGGGCTCGAATATCGCTCAAAGAGTCATTACTGCACTGTCGTTTGTCCTTTTTTTCTTTCAAAATTTAGGACTAATAAATAAACGGGGGAGTAAATTCATTTGATAAAGGATCACTGTTTATCAAAGATGTATTCAAAGTCACCCCACATTGCAATAATCAAAAAAGAAAAAAAAACATTGAGATATCTCTTTTAATCGAAGTTCTGTAAATATGATTCACATTAGCTATTTTATCGTTTCATTTCCCTCACAATGAATTACAATTGAGTTAATGCTCTGTATCTTCTTTTTAATTACTTTTTTTTTATAAAATTTTCTTTGAACCCTGATTTCTTTACAAATATTTCCACTTATTTGCATTCTTGCTTTGTTTGAAGCCACCAAATAAATCCACTTCTATGTAAAACTCGTATGGAATGTGTCACCTGACGTAGATCGCACGGGCCTGCAAGTTTAACACAGATGGAGATTATTTTTTGACTTAGATAATACACTAACACCTCTAGCTGTTTCAACGCAACCCCCTACCCCCTTTTGTGGACTATGGATATGCCAGTGTATATACGCATAGGTAGTTTACCATGAATAATTTTTTCTTACATATTTTCCTCACCTTCTGTTTTCATTTGTCATATCGTGGTTCACGCAGTTATTTTTCTTCTATTTTTTTGCCTTTAGCATGACATCAAATTCTCTTCAATATTGTATTTCTTTATTCCTTATCAGCCAGTTAATGCTTTCATATTTTCCAGTATGATTTAAAGAAAAAAAAAGAAGAGAGAGAGAAACTTTTCATTTTTAATTCCCAGAGATCATGTCTATAACAGGTTCTTCCAAAAGCATTTTAACGTCCTACTTCCCAGGTGAGGACAGCTAACCTGCTTGGAGTCGCTGGCACAGATGTTCCGATTCGAGAGATCGAGAAGCTAGTGCCTCCGTACAAGGTAATCTTGATAATAGGTTTATTTTTGTCTTTTTTTTGTGTGTGTTTATTGGTTTTGTTTTCTTTCTTTCTTTGTCCATTTTTTTTCTTTCTTCCAGTCTTTCTTTCTTATTTCTTTCTTTTTTCTCTTTCTTTCTCAGTCTTTTTCTTTCTTTCTCTCTTTCTTTTTCTTTCTCAGTCTTTCTCTCTCTTTCTCTTTCTTTCTCAGTCTTTCTCGCTTTCTTTCTTTCTTTCTTTTTCTCTTTTTCGTTCTTTCTATTTATTTCTCTCTTTCTCCTTCTCTCTCTCTCTCTCTCTCTCTCTCTTTTTCTTTCTTTCTCAGCCTCTTTCTCTCTCTGTCTGTCTCTCTCTCTCTCTCTCTCTCTCTCTCTCTCTTTTTCTTTCTTTCTCAGCCTCTTTCTCTGTCTGTCTGTCTGTCTCTCTCTCTCTCTCTCTCTCTCTCTCTCTCTCTCTCTCTCTCTCTCTCTCTCTCTCTCTCTCTCTCTTTCTCTTTTTCATGTATCTTCTATTTACATTAATATTCATAACAATTTCCCTCCAGACGGAATAGCCTAATATCGAAGGTTCTAATGTTTAATAAAAAAAAAAGTAAAGAAGATTTGTACCTGTTCTAAGTTGAACTCACCGTTATCGTAAGTACTTCAATTATTAATATATAGCAGGAGTATAGTGCGAAACTCTACGGATATAGGGCATACAATTTCACTTACGATTCTGTGAGCAATTTTGTCATTTATTTATTTTGTTTGTTTGCTTTTTAATACTAGAAATTGTAGAGATTTGATAATCTGTCTGTTTTTGTTTTTTTTCTTGTCTATTAAATTATATGTCTCTTTACTTGTCTATTTAATTATCTGTTTATTTCTTTGTCTAGTTAATGATTTGCATATTTATGTATCTATTTTCTTATGTGTCTATTTATCTCTCTATCTAATTATCTTTCTATTTTTCTATGGCTTTGATTTTCTGACTGATTATCTACCTATTTGATTATATGTCAATTTATCTATCTTTTCAATTTATCTGTCTATTTGCCTATCTATCGTATCATTTGTCTATTTGCCTGTCTATCGTATCATTTGTCTATTTATATACCTAGCTTAATTAACTCTCTATTTAATTATTTTTCTATTTATCTATCTTACTATCTCTCTGCTTAATCATTTGTCTATTTATCTGTCTATCTAATTATTCCCTTATATAATTATTTATCTATTTAAGTATAGACTTATCTATCTGTTTACTCATCCATCTATCTCTATATAACTTCCTGGTGTGTGTTTCAGCTGGGTGTCAATGGCTACTCCTTCATGGTAAACCAAAATGGCTACGTTCTTTATCATCCTGACCTCCGACCGGTGGTAAGTCCTTCCTCGTAGTGTTTCTGTTATGATTTTAGTTCACCTTTGGCCTCCTATAAACCATTTTTTTTTTTAATATTCTGCTCCTCCTTTTTTTAAGAAAAAGAGAACCGAGGCATAGGACTTTTTTTGCCCAATGAGAGTTTAAATGCAGAAGCCCATTTTAGATTGACAACTACGGTCAAGTTGGTATTTTTAGCATAGCTTTTGATTCCTACATTTTATAAGTTATAATGCCTTTCCCTAGCTATTTTGTCCTCCAGTATTTTGTAGGCATATAGGCTATTATAAGCCCTATAGTCAGTCATTCAGTCTCATTATTTATGTTTTAGAAATACTAAGATTAGACGTTTCGTCCTGGATAATCATCACTTTTTTTGTACTTTCTTTTGGATTCCCTTTCTATTTTCTGTCACTTTTCTGTCCTTGTTTTTCCCCCTAGCACGAAGAAGCAAATGCTGAGGTACTGAGGAAGTCTCGAGATAAGCGTAAATGGGTAACAACTATTATTTCCTCTCCATGTAGGCACGGCATAATCAAAATGCGTCTTGGGGCGGAAGTACCCAGACCATGTTCTCTATGTTTGTGGCGATGTTTAGATCAGTTACTAAGGGTGTGACACTATTGTATCCTATCTGTTTTTTTTTTTTTTCCTCACGGAGACCTCTTTCACCTCCACGACCATCACCCCCCCCCCACCCTCCCTTCACTCCCTCGACTTTCCCTCCCCCCACTCACCTCCACTGCCCTCCCTTAATACACCTTCCCTTAGCCCCTTTCGTAGTCTATAGCTACCCTCCCTCCCTCCTCTAGTAGGCCAACCCCTCCCCCTTTGCCCTTCACGTACCCAGGCACTTTTCCTACGCCTGCTAGCTTGGTTTTAGACTGACCTAACCGTAGTTCAACTAATGTTTGAAAACTGAGCGACTGTGACTCCAACGTCGATTCCTAGTTGGCTAGTGTTAAAGAAGAAAAAAAAGAAAAGAAAAATGAAAGGAAAAAAAAGCTAAAATATCTGTATATATATAGATATAGATATATTTTTTAGAAAGCACTCACGATAAGGTTTTATGTCGCTCGCTGGCATCACAGTCGTTAGACGTGAGCTAACCCTCTCCCTAAAATCACATCAAATCACGGCATAAAAAAAAAAAAAAAATCTTTGTTCCCTAAATGTAGAAAGTCATTTTTCCTCAACCCTTCTAAGAATGTACCCCTCCCCCGTCTTTTCTAGCGCTCCTGAGTAAGAAAATGTTTTCACTTGTGTACTATATGGTTGTAAACACAGTGTCATTATCAAAAAAAAAAAAAAAAAAAAATCCTTTGTGTCCGTGTCATATTTCCCTTCCGTCTGTTTTCCTCGCACCCCCCACCCCCACTCCACCCCACCTATGTCACGAATCCCACCAAAACCCCTTCTTTTTAACCCCCTCACCGCCCCCCTCCCTCACGACACCCCCCTTTCCTCCCCCTCCTACCCCCTCACACGTGTACGAAACCCACGTAGTCTAACTGGAAGAAGAAATTACAAACTTGAGAAACAAAATCACCACGTTCTCTCTAGGTTTCTCCCCCTTGCCATGTACTTACCCTTAACCCTGTGTGTTCAAAAGCGATAATGTATCCTTGTGTCATATGGTTTCTATGGTTGTCACACTCTTGGTCCATTTTAGCGGTCTTTCTTTAGTCTAGAGGTTAGTAAACCTTCTCGTCCTCATCCTAAATAAATGCCCTGCCACATGAGGGGAGATGAAGGCACGGACAGAGACCACCTTATAATGGTTCTTTTGTAACGTTTGGGTGTTGTGTGGTGTTTAAGAAGAAACAAATTCAGTGGAAGTGAATATAATTGTTATTGTAAATTAGTAAATATGATTTCTTAAAATTGTTGTTGGCATATTACCTATGCGTAAATTCGTTGTTGTCTTTTAAAATTGTTTTTTTTTTTTTCTCCGTTTATTTTGATCGTCGCTTATCCTTATAGTCATCCTCCCTCCTTCCGATCTCTTTTTATGCTTGTGTGTCTCAGATTTACACATTTGCAGACATAAAATTCAAAAAAATACCAAAAAGGACCAAATACCCCTTTCTTAAATTCATGTCCTTGTAGCTTCCGTTGTTTAAAATCGACGTAGCTTAATTTTTAAAAGAATTAAATTTGTGTTCTCCGTCTCGCCTTCCGCCACTTGAATCTCATTGACAGATTTTTTGCATTAAGGAACCATTAGCAGGTGATCTTCGATGTGCCAGCTGCATGATGTTGAACGTCACCACGACAATAACATTTGGTTTTGATGTTATATTGTTTTGTTTTATTTCCTAACACAATCATGGTTAGAATTAATTTCCACAGTTCTCCACAGGTGTTGTTATCACTAACGTATTTTTTTTTTCTTTTTTTTTTCTTTTTTTTTCATTCTAATGTTTGGAATTGCTGTTGATATTTTATTTTTCTTTTGTTTTCGTTTTTGTTTTATGGTTTTCAGCTAATCGTAGCATGGCATAGTCTTTTTCATCAATGATAAAGAAAAAAAAAAGTAATGAGCATTTTTACTAAGTATATTTCTTTTTCAGTTGAGACAAAAACCAACTCACTTCGTAACTGTGTGTGTGTTTTTTTTTTTGTTTTTTTTTCTTGTTTCTCTCTCGACCGAAAATCAGAACATAGATGGCCGTTTTTTCTCTTACATACATAGCCATTTTGTGAATAGACATACATGGCTAATTTTTAAAAAGATTTACATACATGGCCTCTGTTTTTTATCGATTTCTTAACTAATGCCATTGATACGGTTTTTTTTAAGTCTTTTTTTCCACTGCTAAAATAGCATTAACCGGATTTTGAATGTTATATATTTATATAACTTTTTATCTTTTTTTATTTTTTATTTTTTTTTTTACCTTTTTGAAATTGTTTTTATAAAGATATATATATATTTCCACCCAGAGAACCATCAACAGAAGACATTTTTCGTAATTATTTTACATTGCTTCTGGCCTTTGCTTCTGAAGCATCTTTTTTTTTCTCTTTTTTTTGTGAGAGGCAATTGATATTATGATAAAAGTGAGTTTTATATTCAAGTGAAAATCATCCATTTTTTAAGGTAGTTTCGTCACTGTTATTATAATACTTTTATTTGTTGTTGTTTTTTTGTTAATCATGTAGTAAGGCAATTTTGTTGTTATTGTTGTTGTTATCATTCTTCGTATTTTGTGTTATCATTTTTGCAGTTGTTGATTGTTTATCATTATTTTTGCAGTTGTTAATTTTGTTATTGTCATTAATCATTATTATCATTATCATTATCATAATCATGATCAATCACAATCATTATAATTATTATTGTTATTATTATCGTTACCATTATTATCATCTTCATCATCATTTTCTTATTATTTTTTATCTTTCTTGTCCTTTTTATCATCATTATCATCATCATTATCAGTGTTATTATTGTTAATATTATTATCATTATCATTATTTTTCAATATCATTACCATTATCATTATTGTCTTTATTACCATTATCATTATGATCATTATATTTTTTTATCATTATCATCATTTACTATTAGTATCATTATTCTGTTCGATGCAAATATATACATCGCATTTTTCTTTAATTTTCATCCTTTTCGTTTTTCTTTAATCGTATATCATTTTCCTAAATATTTAATACGAACACCAATTTATGCCCAGAATCTCCTCTCGCTTTACATTATGCACAAAATATATAATTCAATACTTCATAATTATATATTAATCAAATCATAGCTAGTTTTCTTTTTTTTTTTCTTTTCCTCTTTTTTGAGTATAGATGCCATAACAGAATTTGATTAACTAATTTGATGATGATATATAAAGCAGAATTTGTGAATATGGAATTGGTAATGATAAATATTACCGACGATGATGGTATATTGATTATATTAATGATTATGATGATAAAAATAGTTATAGTGTTAATAGTGTTCAATAATAGTTGTAAAAGAGATTAAAGAAAATGACAAAAATGAAAAGGAAGGTAATAATACTGATAATGATAATTACAATAATATTATCACTATCAAGCATTTCTTCTTCTTATCATTATTATCAATGTGATTCTTATTATCATCAGATTGATTATTTTATTTTCATTATGCTTATGTTTACCGTTATTTCATGCAGTAATAGTAATAATACTAATGACAACAATGATGATAATAATAGAAATAACAATAACAATAATAAAGATCATAAAAGTAATAATGATGTATTTATTATTATTATTATTATTGTTATTGTTATTAATATTTCTGTTATTATTATTATTGTTTTTATTATTACTTTCTACTGCTATTACTATCGCCTATTACAATCACTATACTTATACTACTACTACTACTACTACTACTACTACTATTACTATTACTACTACTACTACTACTACTGCTACTATTACTATTACTACTACTACTACTACTACTACTATTACTATTACTACTACTACTGCTATTACTACTATTATTATTATTACTTCAATTACTACCACTATTGTTATCATTATTAGTGATATAATTACTATCATCGTCGTGATTATCATTACCTATATCTTTTATCATTACAACTAGAGCAATAATGATAATGATAAAGATTATGTGTATATAATGAAAAGGATTCCAACAACTTTCACATAATTTGCAACCTAAAACTAAGCACAACTATTTCTGCATCATGACTCTTCAATAATAACAATAAGGGTTGTTTAAATAAGAATGATTTATTACTAATACGAACTAGATTAGTTGTTTTATCACCAACCTCTACTATAATTATCTTCTCTCACAATTTTTTTTTTTTTAATAATTTATAGATTTAGTTCAATTTCTTATTTCGCTTTTTATTCTTATCTTGCTTATCATCACCTTATGTATAAAATCATAAGTGATTTATCTAGCATTAAGAAAAAGAAAGGAGTATATTAAAAAAAAAAACGCAAATTGAAAAATGAAAATAAATGAAAATAAATGACAATAAATGAAATTCATAATACCAATGCCGACCTTAGCTATATTTAGCTTACTCACTTTTATTTCTTCAGATTTGATTTCATAACGTGATCTTGAATGCTGGTGAAGTCGCCTTAACCAGGCTGCTCTTGTTTTAAGATAGATAGATAAATAGATAAATGAATAATGTATGTGTGTATATGTACACATGTATATATGTATACGTATGTATATGTATATATGTATACGTATGTATATGTATATATATATTTAGATGTATATATGTGTATGTGTGAATATATATGTATATGTATATATGCATATACATATATATTCACATATACATGCTAACATATACAAATACATACATGTGTGTGTATGTATGTATGTATGTACATACGTACACGTTCTGTTTATCTATTTGTCTATTTATTTATCTGATTCTTTCACCCACTCTGTACCCCATTGCTGAGAGACGCTTCTTACACCTACTAGCTCATCACTCTGCCACCACAATAGTTTTCAGAATCATCTTTAAAAAAATAATAATAATGATGATGATGATAACGTTTCTCTTTCTCCAGCTGTGTGTTTGTCTGTCTATCTCTCACTCTCTGGTTTCTTTGTTGTTTTTTTTGTTTTACTTTTCTTTAATGGCTATTCTTATTACACTTTTTTCTTCATATTTGCTGCTAAAAAAAAAAAAAAGAACGCCGTTTTATCAGTGTTTTCATATTTAATCAAAAGCTAATTCCTTTCGATTCCCTCCTCCACCCCTTCCCCCCCTCTCCCCCCTTCTCCCCTCTCCTCCCCCCCCTCCGTCCCTATTTTCTACCTCGTCAAATCCCCCCCTACCCCTCCCCCCCTCCCCATAGTTCCCCCTCCCCCATATGACCCATACCCCCCTCCCCCCCTCTAGTACGGCAAAATCACCTGCTTATTCTCTCTGTATCTCGTGCTTTTCTCATTAATAATAATAAAAAAAAAAACATAGAAAAAATACGGAGACATTCATAAAACATCTCAGCCCTGTGTACGTATAAAACAGAAAGAAAAAATTGAAAAGAAAATTAAAAGAAAAAATAAGGATGATGAAGTGATTGAGTATGTATGAAATTAAACATGATTGTTTTTCCTCGAACGATTGGTTGGTTTTTAAAGTTCTAAGAGTGAAATTAAAGTAACAATAATAATAATATAACTTGATATCAACTATTTATGATTTTTTTTTTTTTTTAATTCGTTTTCTCTTTTTTACCATTAATCTTCCCTTTTGTTTTCTGGTTTACTGTGGATTTTAGAGACCAAAGAAAAACTATTTTGAGGATCATGTTCACAGTTTTTTTACTGTTATTATTTTAATAAGAAATTTGATTGAAAGATACCCTGCCATTTCATTCAGAACATTTGTAGAAACCAAAATAAAGATGGCAGCTTTTATAGAAGAAAAGGATGAAGAAGAGGAAGAAGAAGGAGATTAAAAATATTTGTTGTCTAAAAAAAAAAAAAAAAAAAAAACATCGTCTGTCTACCTGGAAGCATGATCTTAAAATGTACTGTAAAAATTTAGTCATTGAATCTTAGTAACTGTCTGTGTACAACCGTGAGAGCATGTCCAAAACACTTCAAACGTCACCCTGGCGAAAGAAAAATTTAAACTAAAGATTATGATTAAAAATTTCCCCCCCCCCCCCCCTTATATTTGTCTCTCTCTCTCTCACGTGTTCTATGTCCACACGCTCGTACACATCAATGCCTGCAAAAGAGATGTTTTAGTTTGTCCCGTAACTTAATCCGTTTTATGTGTTAGAATAGCTGATTTTCTACCCAAGTAAAGTGGTGCTGGTATTGGTAAGCCTATTTTTTCGGTTCCAATACTGGTATCTTTGAATGTAATGGTAGCCGGAACAAGACCGGTGTCAGTATTATAGATAGTGATGGTATAAAGTGACTAGCATTGTTCAATTTTTTTTTTCTTTTTTTGTATAGCTTGTTTGAACAAGTATAGAAGAGCATTAAAACTAGAGGTTATTTTAATGCACAGTAAATTTAGTCAAGATCTTTTTAGAGTCATTCCCATATCCCCCCCTTCCCCCCCTTTCTATCCTCCAACCTGTTGTGTTCTTTTTAATGAGAAATTAGAGTTAGTTCCCATTAATTTCAATCCTCAATGCTTGCAGTCAGTTATCTAACTAAAAAAAAATATGTTAGTTTCCCCTGACAACCCCATTTTTTTGCGAAATATTCCCTAGCCAGATTTTTTCACATATTTTAATAGATACTAAGGAAAATCTTTTTTCTTTCCTTATTTTGTTTTTTGATTTTAACACGAGATAGTATCAAAATGGCTGATCCTCTCTCCTTCCCCCTGCCTCACCCCCCTCCCCCTTATCCAATCCTTTATTCTCAGCGCAAAGTGACCTTACAATGACCTAAAATTCGACCTTGCTACTCCTCCTCCTCCTCCTCCTCCTCCTCCACCCTGACCTTGAAGCACAGTGGTATAATAATATCTTTGGCAAGCGCACCAGGATTAGTCATGTGTTCTGATTCTTATGTTGTGTATCTGTGCCGAGTTCGGTTCACGTATTAAACGATTTTTTCTGTTCCTTTTTCCTACGTCCCTCTCTCTCCCTCTCTCTCTCTCTCTACCCCTCCACGTCCTTCTCCCTCCCTCCCTCCCCCCCTCCCTTTTATTCTCTCTTTCGCTCTTTCATTTTCGCTTTCTTGCTTCCTCTCTTGTATTCTGAATTTCTTTATTTTCTTCTTTTCTGACTCTTGTTTTCGCTCGTGTTTGCTTTCTCTCTCTCTTTTTTTTTTGTTTCTCTTTCTCTTTCTCTCTCTTTCTCTCTTTCTCTCTCTCTCTCTCTCTCTCTCTGTCTCTGTCTCTCTCTCTCTCTCTCTCTCTCTCTCTCTCTCTCTCTCTCTCTCTCTCTCTCTCTCTCTCTCTCTCTCTCTCGCTCTATTTATCTATCTGTACTCCACTCTATCTATCTATCTATTTATCTACCTCTATCTCTATCTATATGTATCTCTATATCCATCTCTCTCTCTCTCTCTCTCTCTCTCTCTCTCTCTCTCTCTCTCTCTCTCTCTCTCTCTCTCTCTCTCTCTCTCTCTCTCTCTCTCTCTCTCTCTCTCTCTTTCCCTCCTCCCCCCTCTTTCTCTCTCTCCTTGCTCGACATAGTTCCAAGACATCCTGAAGCCCAATTACAACAGCGTCGATTTCGCGGAGGTGGAGCTGATCGACCATGATTCCGGTCCTCGGTCGAACAACTCGGATCTACTGGAGGTGAGTCGGTTCGAATCCACGTTTGGTCTTTTTGGGGAAAATTTGGTTTTATGATTTCCTTTCATGGTATCAAATGATTCGTGTGTTTTATCAATGTTCCGTTTCGTATTTGCATATCGTTCGCGCGGGTCGATCCTGACCTCATGAGTTTTGTATTTATAACATGTATTTATGTTAATTTGTATTATGTCGTCATAGGTCATTCATAAGTTAATTATCGTACATTTATACATTGTTTCTTCCTTTATTACTTCTTATTTCTTATTCATCTTCTTATTTCGTGAATTGGTACCTCTGGCTTGGTCACCGCACCTCTTGCTAAGAAGATATACATTCACTCACATCAATTTCCTTCATTGATAGCAGTTTTCAAGCTTTTAGAATTAATGAAAATTACTAATTTCACAAAATTTGTTGCTGTTTAAAAAGAAATGCACTATCGGTGTGCATTTTCAATTAAAACTTGTTTATATCGTAATATGTGTTTACAGTTTTCAATTCGCTATCATTTCCGCAACGTGTTATCATTCAAACATAAATCTCTCTTTTTATAATATAATTTTATTGACAAGAATCCAAAAAAAATTCTCATTATTATTAATAGTAGCATTCACAACCCACCACAACAATTAATATAATAATATTATCATGTGTTATGTGTTACGTTTTACTATCATGCTTTTACTGAAGTATACCTGTAGATTAGTCACAGTTTTTCATTTCGAATATTGTATATGTAATTTATATTCACATGTATTGATTTTGATTTTGTTTGTTCGTTTGTTTAATTTTATGGCATACATGTTTGTTTTCCAACATGTGTCACTTGTGTCTCTTAATGATTTTTCTTTTTCTTTTTTTGGTCAAATTTCACTGAGCTTTTGAAGCGTCGAATTCCAAAAAGTTTCAGCTTCGGAATTCGAGGTCTCGAAGCAACCCGGGAAATAATCTTAGTTCTGTTATTATTTTTATTCTATATTCTTCTATCTCTCCTCTTCTTCCATGGTGTGAGAGCAGCTGACAAAAGGGAGAGATTATAATACCAAGGTATAGCCTAGGCTGCAACAAAATGGTGGTCTGGACCCTGTGTTTCTCTTGTGTTTAGCCTTATTGTTTTGAGCTTTGAACACCCCCCCTTGAATTTACCTGTGAGCGAGAGACGCAGGAATTTATTGTTGTTATTTCATACATATTTTTTTAACACCAGAAAGATATAAATGCGGCATAAACGCCAAGTAAAGTGATGATAGGAGATATAAGACAAAATAAGATGGCATTTAAAACGTATCCAAATTGCTCATCGTTTTTATCTTTTTTTTATGCGGAATTCTTGCGTATTTTCTTTCTCTCACGGGTTGATACCAAGGTGTAAGTAAATTGGGCTCCTATCCTTGTGTTTTTTGTTTTATTTTACTTATTATTTTTGGTTTTAATTATGGTTTTAGTTTGCTCTTGTTGGTTGCAATGGGGGACCTCGGAACGGCTCCCTCTTGTGGTAAAAAAATATATATATGCTTTTATTTTTTTTGGTTTTAAATCCTACCTACCCTTCCTTTCGTATCTTTACTTCTTCTGACGTTGTCTTTGCGATTATTAGTATTATTTTTTTTCAAGTTTCATTAAGCCGAGGAAGTTTGCGAAAAAAAAAGTACGTGTCAATGTGGATTTCATTGCCACGTTGCCAAGTTTCTTTTCTTTTTTTCTCGTAACCATGGCAACCAGCGAGTTTCAGCTTTCATCGAAACGCGACTTTGAATTAGCAGCTGTTTGGATTTTTATTTTTCCTTTCTTTTTTTTTAGTAATTAAATTCAGTAATTTTGTATTCACAGCATACAGGGAACGAGGATTTTCTCCTCTCTTTTTCCCCGTATCCTTTTACATGCACGAAAAAAAGAGAAAGAATTAGACTGAATTTTTAAAAGTTAACGAAAACAAATCTATATTTACAATATACATTTTTTCTCCCTTTTTTCATTTTTTTTCGAACGAATTTCCAAACATCCACCGCCTTCGCTCTTTTTTTTCTATCGCTCACTAACAGCAGGTTCCGCTAAAGTGTAGCGTAGCCGAAAAATAGCTAGACAAGTGTATATTGTCAAACTAACAAACGTGAGGTGTTGATGCCAAACGCTCTGTACTATATGTGTGAGCGTAGGTGTGATTTTACACTTAGGTAGCTTAGAAAATGCGCCTATATACGAGATCGAAGTGGTAACGCTAGCTAGCAGTCGCTACCAATAGAACGTATGCTAGATTCGCCGATCCGGTCTTAAGACTGGATGTGAAAGTATTATTTTTGTAATATTTAGGTGTTTAATGGACTTAATTGTAGTTAATATCATTGTCTTTTAGATGTCATTTATATTACGATTTGATTTAGGATTTAAAAATATGTATATATCAGTGAAAATATATATCAGTTTCAAAAAGTAATTTTTAGCATATATCTAGATCCTATTATGCATAAGGACTAATTTTCAGTTTTATTATTCCTGTTCTTCATCGTTTTCTCTTTTTTTTTCTTTTCCCTCCATTCAACAACAGCGCCGGCTAACCTCACTTCCAAAACAAAAAGAGTTATAACTGCCTGTTCTTTGCCTTTCCTTTTGTTCCTTATCTTTCCCTTAATTCTCTTACAGTCCATCTTGATAAACAATTAATAAATAAACAACTTTTTTTTTTCTTTTTTTCTCCCTTCGTATCTACCTTGAAACCAGCCAAAGACCTGACTATGTAATCATGCAATATCGGTCATGCATTCAGCTGACGGAATGACAGGCGGATAGTGTTCAAATCACTATTCACAATGACGATGGTATTTAAGTGTTCCTCTAACTCCAAACTTATCTTCACAGTGAAAGCCGTTGTATGGAAAAAACGTCATAATATCTTTATCACCTTTTTTTTCAAATCCCTATACTAACATGTTTCTTTGAAGAAAAAAAAAATATATATATATATTCCTTTTGTTTAACCTCATGTATATTCATCGTAGTTTAGCCGTTCAATTCCTAATAATATTTCCATTTTTCTTTCACTTCTTTATTTCAAATTTTCACTGCATTGGTTAGAATGACCGTGTTCCCTTACTCTCACCGGGAATCGGAAATTAATTCGAATTCCTTGACCTTTGCAGCTTCGTCGTGACCTTATTGATCAGCGAGAACACGAGTCAAATTTCTCCGTCAAAGTTCATATGGACAACATGGTAAGAAATGCTTAGTTTGTTTTGGGTTTTATATGTGTGTATGTTCGTGTGTGTGTGTTTGTGCGTAAGTGTTTGTGTGTGTGTGTGTGTATGTTTGTGTGTGTGTTTGTGTGTAAGTGTGCGTGTGTGTGTGTGTGTGTGTGTGTGTGTGTCTGTGTGTGTGTGTTCATAGTTTTGATGGATGGTGAAGTAATATCTGATTTGTTTAAAAAATGGTGATTTCATTTATTGTCTATATGTATAATATATAGTATAAATAGTATTTACACACAAACGACATACACCCACACACACACAAACACACACACACACCAACCCAACCCAACCACATACACCTACAGCCATACACTTCCCACAAACTACGCCCACGATCCCTCCAGACTTCACCCTAACCAGCCGCCCATTCCACGCCCACAGAAACGCGTCGTGACGAGGCAGCAGCGGTACTTCACTCAGAAGGTGAAAGGAACGCCCTTCAGCTTGGGGATTGCCATGCCTATGGGCTATGGCAAGTATAAGGTGTACGGGCAGGTTGAGCTGTCCAGGGCAATACAGGATCCCAGAGGAGTGAAAGGTAAGGAAGGGGAGGGGATGGGGAGGGGATGGGGAGGGAAAGGGAGGGGATGGGGAGGGAGGGGGGATAGAGGAAGGAGGAGGAGAGGGAAACGAGGGAGAGAGGGTAGGGGAGGGAGGAGGGAGGGGGGAGGGAGGAGGAGAGGAGAGGAGAGGGAGGGGGGAGGGAGGAGGAGAGGAGAGGGAGGGGGGAGGGAGGAGGAGAGGAGATAGGGGAGGGAGGAGGAGAGGAAGGAGGGAAAGGGAGGGAGGGAGGAAGAGGGGAGGAGGAAAGGGAAGAGAGAGAAGGAGGGGAAGGAGGGAAGGAATGAAAGGTGAGTAAGGAGGGGAGGGGAAGGAAGGAGATATAGGGAGAGGGAGAGAGAGAGAGATAAGAGACAGAGATATAAAGAGAAAAAAAAATAACAAAGACGTTTTATACACCACATACCAGCAAATCATGACTTCAAAACGATCATCCAAAAGCAATATTGAACTGCACATCCCTCGTTGAGTAAGCAATCTCTAACGCGTACATCTCTCTTTTCAGTAACTGATTACTTCACCTCTGGGAACTGGTCAATCCACCCCGATTGGTAAGTTGATTAGAGATAAACATTTTTTTTAATGGATTAGTAGCTGATTTGAAACCATACATATTGAATTGTTTATAGGTAAAAAAATATATAATAACTGTTAATTGATTTGTATAGATTATGAATTTGATTATTGGTTTGCATGTTTTTTTTTTTATATATGTATGTTTTTTTGTTGTTGTTTTTTCTTTTTATTGATATTATTTTAACTGATTTTCTAAAGTCGATTTGGTCTTGTTTCCTCCCCAGGGTGTACTGTGAGTACAAGTATGACCAGAACCGCCCTGACATGACCCCTGAGGAGCTCATGATGGACTTCCTGACCCGTGCCCAGGAGCCCCGCTGGAAGTGGCGTTCCACCCGTACCCGCGCGCCCCCCGAGCCCTCCATGACCAAACCCCAGTGTAAGTACCCCTAACCCCGCCCCCTCGCCCCCCACCCCCGCCCAACCCGTTTCCCACACGCCCCTCAGAGGCCTGGCACCACCACTACCACCACCGCCACCGCCACGACCACCACTACAACCCCCTTTAGAAGGGCTGACCTCAGCACCACCTAGTGTCTAGTCTCCCCCTCCGGCCCCGCCCCCGCCCCCCTCCCGCGCCCTGCGCCGCCCGCTCACGTTCTCCGCGAGGGCCAACCTCTCCCGCACAGGCTCACTTGGATTTGTTTGCACTGAGGTTCTGCCCCCACCCACCCTTGAGAGTTTCCCACGTGTCTCTGCCCTCAGACGAGGCTTCCCTCCGCTCGAGGCCCCGCGTCCGCTCAGGCCTGCGTGTCGCCCTCGACCTCCGCCGAAGCCACGGTCGACGGCCGAACACGCGCCCGCCGAAGGACGCGGCGCCGCGGGTGGCGCTGGCTTCGGTCTCGCCCGGTGTTGGCTTTCATCTCTTGCTTCCTGAACCACTCACACCTTTTGGGACACTTGACGGCCGCTCTCGTGGCTCTGTGCCCGCGGAGCTCTCCTCTTCCGTGCTTCGTGTTCTCTTGTTCTTCTTCTTTTGTCTCTTTGTCTCATTGTTTTTGTCTTCCTTTATCATCTTTCCTCCAGAGATGTTTCTGCTTCGAAGGCGCCGCTCAGGGCTTTCCCACTTGTTCCGTTCCGTGAAAACTGCCTTGCATCATCTTCTTCTCCCTCCTCTTTTTTTCGGCTTTTTTTTCATTCATTCACTTACACACTGTTGCATTCTCTATAAACTTCCAGTGTCTTCCGAATAATACACTCACGAACCTCGCCACTTGACAAACGCTCAGTTACTCTCTCCTCTTGGAAACTGTATTCCGCTGCATGACATGACAGTTACTCCTCCTCGGCTTCGGTCACTCTGGGTTAACCTTCTAGGGGGGGAAATTACACGATATTTACCCATTTATTTAAGCGCCACTCCGTCACTCCAGATTATTATGCACCATGCCGACACTTCCTGACAAACTTGGTGTATGTGTGTGTGTTTGTGTTTAGTTGGATTGATGGAAAGATAGGTAGATAGGCAGAAAGTATGGATAGATGTGTTTGTGTGTATATACCGTGTGTGTGTGTGTGTATGTGTGTGTGTGTGTGTGTGTGTGTGTGTGTGTGTGTGTGTATGTGTGTGTATATATATATGTGTGTGTATATATATATATATATGTGTGTGTGTGTGTGTGTATGTGTGTGTGTGTCTGTGTGTATGTGTGTTTACGTATGCATGTGTGCGAGTTTTTGTATGCATGTCTTCGCATTGCAAGAGATACACCCATGCTCAGCACACAAGCACGAATGAACAAAAGCATGAGTGAAGCCGAGTGAAGTACGAGCGACCGCGATGCAGCAGGCAAACACGCAAGTAAATAAGAGGCACACACACACACACACACACACACACACACACACACACACACACACACACACACACACACACACACACACACGCACGCACGCACGCACACACACGCACACGCAAACAAACACACACACACACACAACACACACAGACTTGCTTATGGAGGAAGACGACCGCCTCGCCCGAACAAAAGACTCAAGCCTGGCCTCTCTTTCAACACGGGCGAGCTTGCTCTGAGATCAGTACGGGAGATCACGCTCGCCCTTTCAGCAAGATGGCTTGCTACTGTTTGGACCAGGATGCGGGAAGGTGTTTATTTATTTATCCATTTTAGCATTTTAATTAATTATTTATTTAGATAGAGAGAGAGAGAGAGAGAGAGATTTCTATATGAATTAAATACATGGAAAGATAGATAAAGAGATAAAGAGATAGACAGACCAACAGATGTATATGTGTATATATAAGGGTGTGTATACAATATATATAAATATATGTGTATGTATAAATAATATATATATATATATTATATACATATATATATGTATTATATATATATATATATATATATATATATATATATATATATATATATATATATATATATTATACGTATCATATATATGTATTATATATATATATATATATATATATATATATATATATATATATATATATATAATACGTATCATATATATGTATATATATATATATATATATATATATATATATATATATATATATATATATATATATATATATATATATCCATATATATACATGTGTGTGTGTGTATATGTGTGTGTGTGTGGATGTGTGCGCGCGTGCGTATTTGTACATATATATATATAATATGTACACGCGCGCGTGTGTAGTTGTGTGTCTTATTATTATAAACTGTGTTATTATTATTATCATCATCTCTTATCATTATTATTACTATCCTCCACCTTCCATCGTTATCAACATAGTCTGTTATGAACGATTATTTTGTGTTATATGCACAAATGACGAGGCAGCGTGCAAAATGTGCGTTTTGTGCAAGATGCGTGACTTATGCAGAGTGTGGCTGCGTGTAAAGCATGTGTGACCTGCGTGTTGCGTGTAAAATGCGTAGCTTAAACAAATGCCGTGTAGTAGAGATGGAATATAGTGCGTGATAAATATGCGGTTTGTGCAAAACAGTGGCCTGTGAGACGTCAAATGCGAGTGTTGCGTGTGAGGGCCGAACTTACTTGCCGTCGGGTGTAGAAGGCAGAAATTTATGCTCATGGGTTAAGGATTCATGATGAATAAATACAGTTTCCAGTCGACAGAAAGAGAGAAACTGGCATCTTATCCGAACTCTGGAGTACTTGGGATTCACTCCCTTTTATAACAACTGACCCAACATGCTTACACATTTTTTTTCTTCTGTTCAAAAAAAAAAAAAAAAAAAGTACATACAATTTTTTTTTCTTTACTGCCATCAACACCACTTTATATTTTGTTCTTATTTATTATTATTATTATTATTTAAAAAAGTCAGAGTGAATCGGAGTTTTCCCAAGCTTAGAGGGAATTGCCAGCTATTCTGTTTCCGAGATTGGATAGAGTTCTTAGTAAATAACACAACGGAGGGAAGAACAACACTTTTTTTTCTTCTTCTTGTCCTTCCCTTCCTTGTTTTATTCACTTCATGCTCATGGGTGGATAGGCCTGACATGTCAAACCCCCAAAATATATATTTTACACGATACATTGAGGTAAGTGTGAGCTGAACGTGGTCGGAAGAGACGTGAAGACAATGCGAATTCAGGAAATTTTTACGAATTTGTCCATTTGGGAGTCTATATTCACTTGAACATTAAGTCTGATTCATTTGATTTGACTGCGAGCATGGAATAAAACTCCTATATGACATGTGGTCTGGTCTGACTAAAATTGTTGTTGCAGTTTTATCATATATTACCAATTAAGCATGATATTCATGTGTGTTATAGTTTATTGCTAACAAACGGAAGAAATTAACATGATAAAAATTACAGTCTAGGAACATCGGTCAAAATGTCACTGAAGATTGTGATAAATTATACCTGGTCAGTAAAATTACCCTACAATATATATATATATATATATATATATATATATATATATATATATATATGTACATATACATATGTGTGTGTGTATATATGTATATATAATATATACGAATTACTGAAAATAAGACTTTTTCTCATCACATGCTGTACTATTGAGATTTTGGCCGATATATTACCTGACGTTGTCGGAAAATTGAAATTCACCAAGTAACTATTCATTTCCACCAAGACCTTCCAAATTACTGTTAACATCAATGCAATCTATACATATATAGTTGCATATCCTTGAGACTCTAGAACCTACGTGGATACGCTTTCCGACCACGCCATGGTAGTAAGGTTAGTTCCAACAGTAGGACTCTGGGCACACGGGACCGTTCCCTTGGAAGCAAACGGAAACCAAGCCAACGTCGTCGCGATACCAGGTTGGCTGTGTGAGAACGGAGTCATTGTTGTCCTGTAGATTTGGTCTCACATGTCTCCAGTTTTGTTTGCAACATTGTCCTGCACTAAGTTCATTTTAACGTCGTGAGTGCGTAGAGAGCTTCGCGATGATTTGACTAGAGTAAGCTGCACCTCAGATGATCATTTTCTGCCTGACATGATATAGTTCCACAGGTTCATAGATGCAAACAGCGTACAGAACCAAATAATGGCAAGTAAAACTTTCCCTTACCAAGTTTTGACGTTAGACGGTTATGGTAGTCATTAAACCTTAGACTAGAGTGCTAATATCGTAAACATAGTTTGACTCAGCGACCACTAGCTGCTGTACGGCAAGCCTCTGGTGCTTCTCATAGGGTTATGGTCCCGTATGCCAGCGACATTAGTGCGTGGTTTGTTTATCCTTAGTTAACGCTCATCCCGCCCTTTACCTTCATGCAGACAGCAGTTGGAAACCTGGTGTTGTAGAGAGCGAGAGGAAAGACAGCTATTACTGTAAGTATCAACCCCGCGGGCGCTTGCCTGACTGGGATGGGTGCGTTCGTGTAGCCCACATGTTCGGAGGTCCTAGAATTTAGAGTAATTGTTCATTTGTTTTAAAGATGGACCTGGAAATGGAGAGTAAACCATTCATATATATTTTTTTTAATCTGAAGTAATTTCTGAGAACAATCTTCCTTCTATTCAGTTACAAGAAATGCTCCAATGGCTTGAGTAATTTATCCTCAACCTCCTACATATACTGCTTTGCGAATGCGCCCAGTTCTTTCTGTCGCCTTAGTTGAAATATTCCGTTGAAAGAGAATAATCACGTACAGTGTTTGTATGTGACAGTGTTGTATCTTGATCCTCACCACGGAAAGCCTAGTTGACATGACGCAAAGGTGCTGTAGCTTTCATCTGCGCCGCCTGAGATACTTGGGTTATCCAGTGAGGAAATAGCCAATCGGAATGTTCTTACTTTTGAATGATAAGGATGATAATGATAAAAAAAAGAGAGAACAAATTTCAAATCGATGAATAGTTTGGACCTCAGTGTAAACAGATTTTTTTTTTTTAGCCATTCCTGAAAGATGGTAACAGCTGAAGTGAGTCATGTCTTTTACAAACAACTTGTAGTAAATCCAAGTAATCATTTTGTTGATTTTTTATTTTATTTATTTATTTATTTATTTTTTTTTTTGTTCGTTTTTCTTTTTTTTTCTTTTACCGTATAAAGTAAAGCAAGGAAAGGATCAGTAAATTCTCAATTTTTGGGATCCTTCAGCGAAAATAAAAAAAAATACACGTAGAGTTTACCTCAAATGTACAGTCCTTTTTCTACACTTTTTATTTTTGTATTTATTTATCTACTTATTTATTTATTTATTTTACTTCAAAGGAAAACCAAACAACCAAGTCTTGGCAACCAAACTCAAGCTGATCCATCGACCCCCCCCAATGTACTAAGCCCTAACCTGTGTACCTTTTCCCCCAGGCGACAAAGACTTGGTTCAAAGCATGGTCTTCGATGCACGCGCCACCAACGTCTATACAGAGAGAACTATCGAGGACAAGATTGCCGATGAACAGTAAGTTATTGTTGTTCTTCTTCATCTGGTCTTTAGGGGTCTTGTCCGTCTCGCTTCTTCTGGTCTATAGGTCTTTGAGAGGTCTCGTTAGCTTCGCTTCTTTTGGTCTTTAGGTCTTTAGGGTCTCGTTAACTTCGCTTCTTTTGGTCTTTAGGTCTTTGGGGTTTTATTAGATCTGCTTCTTCTTCTGCTGTTGTAGGTGGCTGGTGAAAGGTTTAGGTTTTTTTTTCCCAGTT